TAACGTGTTCGTCCCCATCGTTCCCTAACGTTCTCAGGCGTGAAGTCTCGATACTCTGCGTATAGGGCATCACGACTAATAATATGATGTTGCTGGCGCATATACGTATAGAGATAGTTCCGGCCATGTCCTTGTAGCGTTGTAGAGATCTGTGCCTGGCTGTTAAAAAGGACCGGGCGCGTTCCTTGCGACTTGGAGCGCTTCAGGATTGGCGGCGGTAGAGCCCTCTTCAAGCCGAATTCTTTCAAGACGGAACTTTGAGATCGTAAACCCCTCGTCTCTAAGTCGTTTAAGCATGAAATCATCCTTAAGACATTCATCAAAGAATAGCGACCTAATTCGGTCCCGTAAGGTATCTGAAGTGATCGTACGTGCTTGACGAAGAAGTCCCCAGTCTTTGATCGATCGATAGAGACTGGCGCGGCTTACTTGAAGCTGATGATGCTCGAGAAGATGCGTATGGATTGTATTAATAGAGGATCCATCTCGATGCAAGCCGGTGATTTCCTCCTGAACTGTGGAAAGATCAATTTGTGGTCGAGGCATATTTGTTTAACTGAGTAAAGCGCTATTCGGGCTCAATGATATCGTAGAAGGGAGAAAAGCACTGAAAATGTGTACCAATGCGCAGAGCGAACGCTTACTTTCATTTCTTTCAATGCCCTATGCTAATAGAAGAGTATCGGTATATACAAGTTACCCAGTTGCACTTAGACCCGATCGGGTAATCTAACCCCGGGGTGCCCACAGCCCAAAATGCGTTTTGAGACAGTCTGGCCTACAGTCGCCCGTAGCATTCGACCAATCAGAAGCGGATAAACTCCCCCCACACCGAGACTGCGACCACGAAATTGAACTTCAACCTGGAACGACTCCACCACATGGACCTCTGTACGGGATGTCCCAAGACGAACTTCTCGTCCTCCGGAAATTCCTTCAGGAAAACCTTGACAAGGGTTTTATACGCGCTAGCACCTCACCGGCGGCCTCGCCGGTGTTATTTGCAAAGAAGCCAGGAGGGGGCCTTCGTTTTTGCGTGGACTACCGAGCTCTTAACGCGATAACCATCAAGAACAGTTACCCCCTACCGTTGATCCAGGAGACCCTTTCCCAGCTAAGCCAAGCCAAGTATTTCACCAAACTCGATGTCGTCGCAGCGTTTAATCGAATACGCATCAAGGAGGGTCAGGAGTGGATGACGGCGTTCAACACAAGATATGGTCTCTTCGAGAGCATGGTGATGCCTTTGGACTATCAAACGCCCCAGCTACCTTTCAAGCTCGAATCAACGAAGTCTTACGCCCATTCCTTGATAGATATTGCACAGCCTACATCGACGACATTCTCATCTACTCAGACGACCTCGCCACCCACAGACTCCACGTCAAATCAGTACTTCAAGCACTTGAAGCCGCAGGCCTACAACTTGACGTCAAGAAATGCGAATTTGAGACTACTGAAGTTAAATATCTGGGCATGATCATCTCAACCACTGGAGTACGGATGGACCCAGAGAAAGTCGACTGTCTCATCAACTGGGAGGCCCCTATCAACGTCAAAGATGTTCAAGCCTTCTTAGGATTCTCGAATTTCTACAGACGGTTCATCAAGGATTTTCACGCATCGTACGACCACTTGTTGCCCTGACACGGAAACTAGTCAAATGGAACTGGACTTCATCGTGCCAAGAAGCATTCGATATGCTCAAAAATAGCTTCACTTCAGCGCCAATCCTCAGACACTTCGACCCCGCAAGAGAAGTGTTTGTCGAATGCGACGCATCCGATTTTGTCTCTTCGGGCATCCTCTCCCAGGAAGATGATCAAGGAGTGCTACACCCAGTGGCTTTCATGTCCAAGAAGTACGACCCCGCTGAGTGCAATTACGAGATCTATGACAAAGAACTTTTGGCTATTGTACGCTGCTTCGAATGCTGGAGACCCGAACTCCAAGGCACGCACCACCAGATTACAGTCATCACTGACCATGCCAACCTTCGATATTTCATGACAACCAAGCAACTTTCAAGACGACAAGTCAGGTGGAGCGAATTCCTATCACAGTTCCAATTCGCTATTGTAACGGGCTGAGCCCGTGAGGGTCTCGGCTCCGCTCTCGACAAGACCCACCGGAGCTCCGCTTATAAGCTCGTGCCATCTTCGAGAGCTTTCCTTTCTTTTCTTTTCTTCTTCTTCTCCTTAGCTTTAGGATACTCGTCGCAGTCGCTCAGCTAGTTGTCAACACACTCAGTTGAGACCGTTACATTATCCTAAAGCTCCGCTTTCATCGTTAAAGCCTTTGATCACAATCAATTGGCAGCGCTGTTCAGTTCCCTTTGTGGGTACGCGGAGTGGCAGTAGCTTGGGCAATCCTGTGTGGAACGCCCGCGACGAAAGTGCGTGTGTGTACGGCGCCAAAGCCAGCTTGGCTCGCGTCGCGTAGCTCTCATCTCCCGAGCAAAGGACGTGGAGCGTCAATCTGCTCTCCGTACGGCGTGCGGTTGAGCGAGAAGTACGTGATTGCTGCTTGGCTCCCAGTGTGGACGGCAGCAGCTGGACTAGAAGCCCTGTGCAGAACGTCCAGCCGTGTAGGAAGGAGCCTTCGAGGCGTTGATAGCGTTCGACCGTTGTCGAGATATCCCTTCCGTATCAGACTTGCTGTGTGATCAAGTCGCCCTCAGTCCTGAGAGACGAGGAGAAAATCTTCAGTCATGGAGGCAATCGATTCCCAGCAAGGGTCTTTTGAGCCTCAATCGATGATGCAAGCCCTGGCTGCAGTGATGGACAAACTAGAAAGTGTGTGTGCAAGCCAAGAGGCCGAACGCGAAGAGATGCGATCGCAGATCCGAATCCTCCAAACAGCCGTCTCAACTCCGACTCCGGCAAATGAACCAGTCGCTCCTATCGAACCGATGTCCGACAACACGCCTCAATCGATCGAGACATCCGAAAGAATCCCATCAAAGAGGGTAAAACCAACCTTGCCTGATCCGCCGAAATTCGATGGAACCAGGAAAACTTCCGTCCCTGGTTCTTAGAGATGAAAGCGAAATTGGCTGTGGACCGACAGGCATTCGACAATAAAGAAGCACTCTTCGCCTATGTGTACTCCCGGTTGGCGGAACAGCCCAGAACATGGCCGCTGCTTATTACGAACAGGGCGGTATCGATGGTGCTCGCTCCCCAGATCTGTTTCTCGACTACTTGAACCGTCGGTACGGGGACCCGAACGCAAAGGCACGAGCACTGGATCGACTTCGATCGTTGAAGCAGAAGCCTGATGAGGTTTCGCCAGTTTCTTCCCAAAGTTCGAGAAAGAGCTTGCCGATAGTGGCGGTGGCGAGTGGGCCGACGTGGTGCAAATCAATTACTTGGAAGGAGCAATTAATAATAGGCTCAAGTCGAGTCTCGTCAGTGCCGTCAGTCTCCCGAAGGATTTCAACAGCTACGCCGAGCTACTCTTGACGATTGGCTCGCGCCTAGATAGCCTCAATTTCCACCAACGACAACAAGGCCGCGAGCAGAGGTCAAGAAAGGAGTATGGTCGTTTATCCGAACCGCTCGAGTCCCGACAAAAGCCCCCGTCACCCGGATCGCCAACCACGTCGTCCCCCCCGTCCGATGATCAGATGGATTGGGAACCCGTGAAAGCAAATCGGTTGATAAACGGCAGGAGGGCCCCGGAGGAAAAGCAATTTGTTCCGTTGGAGGAGCGCAAATGTTACGAGTGCGGGAAGCTTGGCCATCTTGCGGCCAAGTGTCCCGGGAAGGAGCGGCGGCAGCAGAGAGTCAAGGTCCGTGTCGAAGAGAAGACAAGAAGCTCGAGAGCAAAGCACCAAGAGCCCGCGGAGAGTTCTAGCGGGGATACCTCCGATGACCATTCGGAAAACGAGTAGCTCCTGACGAAAATCGCCGTCAGGAGCGCGCAAAGGCTGAGGCGGAATGGGCAACTCAGAAGGACGAGATGGACTGTGAAGGCCTCTACGTAAATTTCGGTATCAATCGAGAGTATTTCACCACGGCCTTCGTTGACTGTGGTTGCCTGTGTTATGGGACCATCAGTGAGCGCCTTGCCCGCAAGCTTCACCTGCCGCGTATTCCGATTAAACCTCGAGCGTTGGAGCAGGTCAACACATTCTCACCCGAGGCCATCTGTGCCGTGACCTACTTCGACTTCGATATCGACGGGTACCAGAAGAAAGAGCTTTTTCTACGTTGTGCGAGACCAGACCGATCCTGTGATTCTGGGCAAGAAGTGGTTGAACCAGGAGGATGTCACCTTGCGATTATCGCAGAACCTCTTGCATATCGGGACGCACGACCATTGGGTGAAAGGCCGAGACCCGAAGGAGGAGGAACGGTGCAACATACGAGGACAGGCGGCGTTCGTGTTCGCCGGAATGGTTCGCCGAGCAAGAAAGTTCAAGCATCGAGACGATGGAGTGCGGATCTTCGCCGCAAGCCTGAAAGACATTGAGAAGGCATTGACTCCGAGGAAGAAGTCAGACCCGAGAGAAGCTGCCCCGTCACTACCACGAGTACCTATCCGTCTTCGACCGCGACCAAGCGGACCAACTCCCACCGCGTCGTCCGGGGTGTGATCACAAGATTCAGTTAGAGAGGTCCTGATGACAAGGAGAAAGAACCGCCGTGGGGACCATTGTACGGCATGTCACGAGAAGAGCTCATTGTTCTGCGAAAGACTCTCACTGAGCTACTCGACAAGGGTTTCATTCGAGCAAGTAGTTCTCCAGCGTCAGCACCAGTTTTGTTCGTGAGGAAGCCCGGTGGTGGTCTGCGCTTTTGCGTGGACTATCGAGGATTGAATGCGATCACCAAGAAAGACCGATATCCCTTGCCGTTGATCGAGGAAACTTTGCGGTCGCTGTCCAAGGCCAAGTGGCTCACCAAACTTGACGTTATCGCAGCATTTCACAAGATTCGCGTCGAGGAGGGAGACGAGTGGAAGACAGCATTCAGAACACGTTACGGACTCTACGAATGGCTTGTCACGCCATTCGGGTTGACGGGTGCTCCGCAACGTTTCAGCGTTACATAAACCACACGTTGCGAGATTTCCTCGACGAGTTCTGTTCCGCTTACATTGACGACATCTTGATCTACTCGAGCGGTTCGCTCGCAGATCATCGCAACAAAGTCAGGCAGGTCCTTGCTCGACTGCGAGATGCAGGCCTGCAGATTGATATCGACAAGTGTGACTTTGAGGCAAAGAGTGTCAAGTACCTGGGCTTCATCGTCGAAGCCGGGAAAGGTATCCGCGTGGACCCGGAGAAGGTGCAGGCAATTCAGCAGTGGCAGCGACCCCGTTCTGTCAAAGGCGTCAGAAGCTTTCTGGGGTTTGCCAACTATTACCGGCAATTCATTCCCAGATTCTCCAACATCGCCGCGCCTCTAACGGCGTTAACAAAGAAGGATGCGGTGTTTGCGTGGTCGAAGGAGTGCGACAAGGCCTTCGAGGAGTTGAAGGCTCTTCTGACCAGTGCGCCGGTCCTTGCGCAATGGGATCCGGATAGAGAGACGATTGTGGAGACGGATTCATCCGGTTATGTCACAGGAGGGGCGCTCTCGCAAAAGGGCGATGACGGCATCATGCGGCCTGTGGCCTTCTTCTCAAAGAAAAACGCAAAAGCAGCAACTGAGTGAACGTCAGGCGCGATGGGCTGAGACGCTATCGCGGTACAGCTTCACCATCAAGCATCGACCGGGCAAAGAAGCCGTCGTACCGGACACGCTGTCTCGACGAGAACAGGACATGCCGCACAGCGCCGAAGATGATCGGTTGCAAGGACGACGTGTTCAGCTGCTGCAACGTAACAAGGTGGCCTGGTGACAAAAGTCAAGAGCGGTTATGTCACCAAGGGCGACACGGATCAACCCGATGACGCAACAACTGACCAAGACGACTCAATCGAAAACCCTTTCTCGGACCCGGAACTGCAGAAGTTATGGGACGAAGGTGTCAAGAAGCACAATCGTTATTGGCTCATCCGAAAGGCCGTACAGCAAGGCGAGAGGCGTCTGCCGTCGCATTGGGGACTGCCCGTGATGCTCTCGGAATGCTCGATTGACGATGGACAGCGGCTCTGCTGGCGAGAGCGAATTTGGGTGCCGAACCACGAACCCTGCGCACGCGGCTTATGCAGGAGACGCATGACTCAACGCTTGCAGGACACCCCGGACGGGACATGCTGAAGTCCTTGTTGAGCCGCAAGTTTTATTGGCCAGGCCTCGATTCAGACGTGCGTCAATTTGTGAGAAATTGTGATGTGTGTGGCCGAAGCAACATTTGGCGAGAGAAGCGTCGCGGTTTATTGAAGCCGCTACCTATTCCAGACAGGATCTGGTCGGAGCTGTCAATTGACTTTGTGACAGACCTGCCACCAACCAAGTCGAACGGTTCGACCAACCTTATGGTCGTGACGGACAGACTGTCCAAAAGTGTCGTTCTTGAGTCATTGAAGGACATCACGGCCGAGACGACGGCCAGAGCATTGCTACGGAACGTGGTGCAACACCATGGCGTGCCGCGCGCGATCGTCACTGACCGTGGCACGCAATTCACCAGTAGACTATGGCAGAGGCTCTGCGAGCTGCTACGCGTGAAGCAAAGATTGTCTACGGCGTGGCATCCCGAGACTGACGGTGCAACAGAAAGGGCGAATCAGGAAGTCGAGAGATATCTGAGGATCTTTGCTGCTTATGCTCAGGATAACTGGGAAGAGCTGTTGCCAGCGGCCATGATGGCCATCAACAATCACAACTCGACGTCGACAGGCCTGAGCCCGTTCTTTATCACGCATGGGTATCATGTTGACCCGATACAAGTCAAGGAGAAGTTACGGACGGACGGAAGGTCCCCAGTGACCAGGGCTGAAAGCATTGTGCAACGATTTCGAGAGGCAACGGAATGGGCCCAGGCGGCAATTGCGTCAGCGCAAGAGCAGCAAGAGAAGAACGCCAATTCGCGAAGACAGCCGTCAGACCAGTTCAAGCCTGGAGACAAGGTATGGCTGCGACTTCGCAACATCCGATCAATCGGCCATCCAAGAAGCTCGATTGGCTGTCGGCCAAGTACACCGTCCTGGAGACCATTGGGTCACACGCGTGCAGGCTGGACACGCCTCGGGAATACACAACGTGTTCCACGTGTCGCTCTTACGCTTAGCAGCGGACGATCCGCTACCGTCACAGACGTCGGATGACTACCGCCCACCGGCCATTTTGACGGACGATGGCGAGCTGTGGGAAGTGGAAGAGATTCTGGACAGGAAGAAAGTCGGGAGAGAGTGGAAAGTGTTGGTGAAATGGGTCGGATGGATAGGTCCGACGTGGGAGCCAGTCAAGTACGTCGCAGACACAATAGCACTGGCTAGGTATGAAGAAGTTCATGGGAAAGTTGGATCGAAACCACCCCAATCGAAACGATCGAAACGGGGGAGGGGAAGGAGGGTTATTGTAACGGGCTGAGCCCGTGAGGTCTCGGCTCCGCTCTCGACAAGACCCACCGGAGCTCCGCTTATAAGCTCGTGCCATCTTCGAGAGCTTTCCTTTCTTTTCTTTTCTTCTTCTTTTCTCCTTAGCTTTAGGATACTCGTCGCAGTCGCTCAGCTAGTTGTCAACACACTCAGTTGAGACCGTTACAGCTATCAAGTCAGTGCCTGGGAAAGAGAACGGAAAACCTGACTCACTCACACGAAGATCACAAGACTTGCCGAAAGATGAAAATGACGACCGCATCCAGTACCAACAACAGTCGCTGCTTAAGCCTTGCAACGTAGACTCCTCCGTACAAGAACAACTAAAGCTTGACCCCGAGCTCTCAGAACTCTTTGCCAATCTCTCCTGGGAACAAGAAATTGCACTATGTCCCGCCATTCTTGACGAAATTGTTGACTTGATATGAGACATGGACCAAGACATGTTTAGGCAGCAGTTACAAGTGGTGAGTCACTGGATAGTGGCACGGACGTGCCACTATGTATATATGTATGTTGAGAGCTGTCAGACAGAATTGAATAGAAGTAAGTTCAATCGCAATAGGTTATGCACCCGGTTGCTTTTATTTTGCTTCCACTGCACGATTGAACTCGGCATATGAGAACACTTTTTCGTCAAGAATCGACGGTTGACAGCAAAGACCCGGCACTATGGGCAAGAAAGACTACAAAGGAACCATCCTTGATGGAAGAGACTCCTTTGACAGCTGGAAGATGGATCTTGAAGATAACTTGTTGAGTGACGATCTTATGAGCTGCGTCACCGGTAAGGCAACAGCGGAATCGTCCGATTTATCAACGCCAGGAGAGAATGCTGCGGACATTAAAAATGTCTCTCTCGCGAGAATGAAAATACGACAGAGTATTGACCAGAACTGTAGGGCTGATATTTGAAGATTTTGAAGTCGAATCGGCCTCGGGACCCTTGAATTGAATGAAGAGGAATCGGGTAAGGTCTTCAAATTCGACGAATCGAAAATCAGGAGTCTTTATTCAATTCATTCATCAAAATCTTGAATGAATGGCGGTATGGTCGAAATATACGGTGAAAAAAGGATCACCCGCTTCGCAGCTGCCAGCCAAGGGGGCATGCAGGGGAGGAAAAGGCTAATGCCCAAAGCCACTGATGCGTTTTTGCGTGTCCCTACGCACACTGGGGCGTTGGGCACGGCACCAAGCATCAAGGACACCGGCTGCCGAACGCACAGCCGTGTGAACAGGCAGCCGTGTGAAACAGGCAGCCGTGTGAAACAGGCAGCCGTGTGAAACAGGCAGCCGTGTGAACAGGCATCGGTATGTGGCTGCCTGGTAAACCGGCCGGATCACCTAGATAGTCCGACCTGGCTGCCTCCTACATAAGGATGAGGCAGTCCTAGCTTATTTGGAGAGACAACCATCCCACTTCATCTCATTCATATGCAAAATGCATCAGATTGGTAGCAATTCCTACCCTTTGCTTTGATTAGCACCAGTGAGCCATTGTGTAAGCCTCACACCATAGCTCAAGTCTGCTTGGGCACCACACGTGAGCCGTTGACTCGGGCTCGCACCAAAAAAAAACCACCAAAAACAACCATCGTGACTTACATAAGTCGCCCCCACGAGCTTACCCAAGCTCACCACCCCCCACGAGCTTATCCCAAAGCTCATCAATCCTTTGGCTTGCTAACCAGCTAACCTTGTGGTGCGACCGACACCCTTGACAGCTAGCAGCCAACATTTCTTCACCCTCGTGATAACGCTATAGGTCAATACCGTTGCATTAAGGTGTCTTTCGCTCGTGACGACTTTGGTGATAGGAAGTTTTGCGAAAGCCCGTGTAATCGTATATCACTATCGCAAGTGTCAGCTGGCAAGCAAACCGACCACACAATGGCCAAACCGACCAACGAAGGAAGCTCGGTCAAGCAAGCTGACGATAGAAGCTCGCCACGCCCGGCTGAAGAAGATGATGCACCCGGCTACCGGACGCAGTCCAGCAACGCCGCCCGAAGCGCAACAGAGTCTCTCTCAACCCCAAGGACAATCATTCGCAATTGGCAGACCAATTACAGCAGCTCCCAGAAGCTCTCAACGCGTGGAAATGGTCCATCCGATTCCTCAAGCTGATGCGAGACAAATCTAAGGAAGCTCGATACCTTCACAGTCCGTGACAAGGAAGCATGTGAAGCCTTGGAAGATCTCCTTTTCCACGTCTGTGCTCATCAAATCAGCCTACGCGAAGTATTGGCTGTACCACAAGCCGGCATCTCGGACCTCGAACATGTGCCTGCATGGAGAGCAGTGGTGGAAAAAGCCTATATTGTGCCGGAACCCACAGAGGACAACATGATGAAATTGATCTCGAAGATCACGCCCAGGAAGTTGATTCGAGGTCAATGACATCAATTGGTATATCTTCCGGATGCCGACCAACAACTTCCCGCGGAACAGCGAGGTATAAATTCTCAAGCTATGTTGCAGTCAACGGAACCCCCAAAGGCGCCAACTCAGTCACAATCACCTTCAGGCGTGAGGAAGCAGAAAGGAAGCCGGCATAGCCACCACAGCCGCCGCGACCAGTGTTGCTAATAATATGACAATAAAGTAGTATACTGCAGTATATACAATACAATACGCGATTTCTCATATTGTACCAATACAATATGCTCGCCGTCATATTGTGACGATACAATATAGCGCCTTCCATACTGGCAATATATGGCTTGTATTGTTTGTATTGGTTGGTAGTCATTCGCCTTTCCGTTCCCCAATTCGCGCCAATATGATGACGCGTCAAAAAACACGCGTAAATATAAGCATGTTCTATGTATTGTTTTTCGTCTGGCGGACCTCCAGGACGTAAAAGTTTCCTATTGGCGCACGGAAACGCGTAAATGTATGTATAAATCCAGACCTACAGGGTAGCGGCTCGCCGTCCAAACACTGTTTTCCTCCTCAACCCCGCTTTCCCACCCCAGGACTTACAAGCAATCTCGATGCCTCAACAACGCCTGCCTTTTGTTCAAACATCGCCGCGACGGGATTCGTCAATATCAGACGAATACTCGGAGATTTCCAGCCCACGGTTGCATGATCCAGATGAGACCCAAACCACTGAATGCCAATCGTCGCAACCTCGCACGGCCTCCATAAACCCTTCGGCCA